TTCCATACTTAGGTGGTCAGGTCACTACTATTATATAAGCAGGTCCGGGGTTTAGCGATGGTACAGCGATTAGCGCCAACTCTAGCCATTGTTTTCATGTCCAAAGCAGAAGCGCTTGTGCTTTCAAGGGAACCATTGCTATATTGTCGTTATATAGATGATTGCTTCATCATTTGTGCGACGCAAACCGAGATTGATGTTTGTTTCAATCTTCTAAATCAGCAATACCCAAATATCAAGTTCACGCGGGAAAAGCCCAAGGAAAACTGGCTACCGTTTCTCAATGTACAAGTACGGCTGTGCGGTGGGATTATAAAACTAGATGGTACCCCAAACCCAGCTGTAAAAACATTTTAGTACATTATTTGTCTGCGCATCCCAGCAAGCTTAAAGGCACCGTCCACCCAAAATCTCGAATTCAATGTTTTTGTCGCCTTCATGCCTTCTGAAAGCCCTGATTCCGAATATGGAGTCGAAAATCCGCGAAACCCCCAAGAATTGCTGTTTCGAGAACCCTCTGCGACAAGCGCAGGCGAGATAAAGCATGCAAGTGGGCGGGGCGACCGCGCTCTACTACTTTGCTACTTCCGGAGCGGATTTCTCGCTCCAGAAGCAGTCTTTTGCGTTGAAATTGGGGGTTTGCTCAGTGCGGGGGGCCCACTCTAGTATGCCATCATAATCTCGCCAACCTCCATTTTGGGTGGACGGTGCCTTTAAAAAGGCGGTTATAAAGAACATGTATCGGACAGCAGCAAAAGTGTCTTCGGGCATGCAAGAGCGAATCTACTCTTTGGAGTTAGCTTATCAAGTAGCTAGTTCTAATGGGTATGCTGCTGAGCCTATCCCAAACGCGGTTTGTAGGACGCAGAGCCAGTTCTAGCAGCCCGGGTGCGCCACTTACCAAAATTTGTTTCTGCTTACCGTTCGTAGGATAAGATAAGCGCGGCCTTGCGGCGATGCGTACATCTCGCGGGTTTGCAAGACGATGTCAGGGGGTCGATATACCACCCTCGAACCTAAAGCGCCAATTGGTCCGAAATCGATCTTACGATCGTACATGCCTAACCTCAGCTTGCGTCGTTTGCCCATTTGGCAAAAAGGGTGATTGCATGATCTCCGGGGTTATCTATCTCATCACATATTTATCATGTGGTGTACGTATATCGGAAAAACAGGACGACCTCTTTGCTGCCGCCTTAAAGAACATCTGGATGGGTTGAACAAACTGAAAGCAGCTACGCCGTTAGGCAGCCATCGCATTTCGTGCCATGAAAATGCTGAGATTGGTATTGGAGTGACTATTAGCGTACGAGCCCGACCTCCTAGCGCGCAAAACTTTGGAAGCGTTCTGGATCAACGCCAAGAATCCGAAGATGAATCGGAAGGAAGAGTGCATAGCCATCACCAATGAATGGCGCCATATCATTACCTCTGCGGGTTTTGATATGAGGTCAGGTCACCCGAGCACTATAATTAGGGGAGGAGGTATAGTCTGATCGCTAGTATATGGTGGTCTAACATATCATCACACATTATCGAAGGTGAGTCTTGGTTACCCGATCTCCCTTTGCCTTTGCCTCTCTCCAATTTGACTTTCGTTCTGAGCTAGAATCTTGGCGTCTAGGAGAATGTTTCACTTATGTTTTCGACTTTCTAGGCTCTGACGAAGGCGATCCGCCGAAACGTTGGCCGTGCATAAAGTGTGGTTAATATCTTGGTCGAAGCTCAACAAGCTCAAACGTTAATCGTTTAAACGTTATCTTGCGCCTTGATTTGGCACCTGATTATGAGAAAATGTGTCACCAGCACATTCGACTTGCCAAGCTCTGACGAAGATTATAAAGCCGAGACGTTGGCCACCTTGAATGAAGTTAAAATCTTGATTGCTGCTTTAGAACACGTTACAGTATAGCATCATCAATGCCAAGATTACTTAGCAGCCCAAGTCGAACAATTTGAAAGTGACTTCGCATGATAGTATCTTCAGGGCCCGGTACGACTGTGATGTGACAAAGCAGAGGGGTTGTCGTAATACACATTTGTATGCATTACACTCCCCTTAGACAGTTCAGCTCCATGAAGACGGGATTTTTACGTGACTGACGTGTTCAAACATTGTGTTCATGGCGCCATTCATAAACTAAGTTTCTTTGCATAAAGTAGTCAACAAATTTTTAGATTACGGCATGGTATGTATACGTATAGTAGGACTAGGGAACAAAATACCAAAAATAATGGAAAATTCATGTGAAAAGAGGGTGTGCTTAACTTTTTTCCCAAATTGCAGTTAGGCAGTTGCCCACCTACAGTCTGCCCCAATCACAACCAGGCCAAAATTGACATGGCGGGAGTACGTGTCGCGAGGGTATGCGTCATGTTTACGGCTAGCTAGTCTGTTCTCTCCTCATCTCTTCGCTCTCTGCGACAGCGCGCGTATGCAGCGCAAACCCTCAGCGCTGCTAGCGCGCAAATTCAGCCGACGGTTCGTGATTCCGATTGGGGCACCCGAGGTGGGCAAAACTTTCACTTCACACAAGTCCTCCAAATTCCCCACATAAATCTACTTTACACCTGTGTAAAGTTTATGAAGTAGTAAATTGTGGTTTTGCTAGAGTCAGAAATAGCAATTGAGTCGCTGTTTTAGGGGAATAAATTGCGCTCTACAAACAGCCTGCGCAATTGGTGCGGCCGATGGGGAAATCGTAAAATCAAAGCGGCAAAGGCGTATTTGTCTCACAGGGGTCCATTCGCCGCTCTTGTGCTGCCAGGCCCTGGTTATCTTCCGGGATTACAATTGTACGGTGGGTGGCTCATTGACAGTTCTGCTTAGAGCAATGTCTGAGGTATCTGCGGCATGCTGTCAATCCTGGCTATCTTGCTACAAGTGACCAAGGATTTTCCACTGAATTTTACGAGAGGAGACTGATGCTGTGGCAATCTCGCTTTATTTAGAGTCTGAGAAGTTGAAAGCACATATTAACCTATCCGGTCAAACTTGTTACGAGCAAAACGTGGTGCCCCTATAAACGCGCGTCCAGGAACAGTAACTTGTTTCGACCTGATGTAGCCGAAGCATTTTTGGAGCAGCGCATCCGCTCTGCTGGAACCTTTGCAAGCGCACAGTCCTAGCATCTTGCCAATTAAAGACCCAAAAAATTCAGAGGACGCGGATATTGGTTCTCAACAATATTATCTACTGTAGATGCGATACTCGAACCGTTAACAAGGCGGAGGGTTGAACTCAGGCTTAATGACGAAAACAAACTATAGACGCGAATGTCTTCTCTAGGCGAGACCAATATTGTTATAAGCCTTTGATACTCAAGCTAAGTTTCGGTGCCGTCACCTTCTAAGGCCTGGAATGTCAGTTTACTAGTGACTTGTCCTTCGTGACTGGTCTAGCAATAAGCACAATGGCATGGTTTGCGAAGACAATCTAGCTTTTCGCTAGCCACATGCATCACCTGTCTCAGCTATGCCGACGCCGGGATGGAGTGCAAGTTTGAATCTTGTTGCGTGAATAAAATTTTAGCAAAGGGAACCCCCGAAGAACAAGTGCCTAGCGTTAATGTGCACACCATTTCAGAGCTTTCGCTGAGGTAATAAAATTGAGTAAGGAGTGTGTCACTAGATAACTAAAAGGTGCTGTAGTTGTAACGAACGGAAATTGTCATCGAATGAACGATTATCGAATAACTGATTTTTGAAAAGTTCTCGAACGAATGAATATCGAATGGTTTTCGAAAATCTTTCGAATGAACAATATTATTCGATTTCCGATTTTCATATTATTCGAATTCGAATACTCGAATATGGTCACAATCCAAAATTTGAATGAACGAATATTTAAATAACTGAACTTGATCGAATATTCGACTATTCTTATAATCGAATAACCGATCATCATCGAATATTCGAATGCAATATTCGAATATTCAAATGCAATATTCGAATAATCGAATATTCGAACAACGGTTTTCAAAACTAATCGAATAATCGGACTTTCTCAAATATTCGACTATTCGAATATTCGAATAGTCGAATACGAATAAATTATTCGAAAACGAATATTCGGTTCCAACTATAAAGGATACTACAATACAGTTTTTGGCATGAGAAGTCTGCAACGCACTAAAACACTTTTCTTTCGAAGTGAGCGCTGCTTAATTTGTTAAGGCATTTTACATTAGCGACAGAGTGCGTTGGATAGATTACGCGTTTTCCACTTTTTAACTCCGAAGATGGAGGAATTGCCAAAACACCAGTCTGCTTCACAGTCCTACATTGGTTTGGTCACACTGGGCAAAATCATCAAGGATTACTTCAAGAACTTCTTTTCAGCGATAAAGGTGCGTAAAATACCATAACCCTATAAACTTTGCAAAAGAACTTTTGCTACAATAACATTCACAACAGTAATCAGTATCCCAGTGTTCCGTTACATCACTTACGCAGGCGCCGCGCGCGAAAAGCTGAGTAAATAAGTGCAGAGGATTCGGGCAGCAACTTTCCAACACTTCGTTTGCTGTGGATCCCCCTTATCATACTATATTGATTCTACTGATTACTACTGATTCCCATTATCATAGTATTAGTCTCTACTGTCAATACGAGGTTTGGCCACGAGTCCTGTGAAAGCGAAGAATGATAATAAAGATCTCAAAAATAAAATGTTTCTAATCATAAAATGGGTGGCATTCCATGTTCATTAATAGCGTTATCTTTGAGCATTCTTTCTGGTATTCCTTTTGAGAAAGACGACATTACATCAGGGTCGCATGTAACTATTATAAAAAACGTATAATGAAGATGAGAAGAAAAGAGTAAAAGAATGAGAATACAAGGAAAGTTGTATGAATATGGACGAGTTTCCTGCCCCGCTGCCTCCACGCGAGTTTCCGTAACGCCGCATCGCTGTAACTTCTAATAGGCACCACGTAAAGCCCCCCCCCCAGAGGAAGTAGTGTTTGATAACTATTTCGAAATATAGCCTAAACTACCTGGAGTGCAACCTCTGCCTTTTCTACTTCGGTGATTGGTCGATTTGTTGAAGCTGCAAATTAAGAAGCAATGATTATGCTTCAAATAGGATAAATTTTATAATTTGTGTATGACGAAAGGAAGAAACGCACATGTAACGTAGCCAGATAATGTTTCGGGCGGTATCGGTGTGTTGTTCATAGGATAAATAGGTTGCTCCACGTGCGTTGTTGACCGGGGCATTGCTAAACTTTGCCTTTAAGTCAGAATGTCTCTTGTCAAGCAAACTTACCGGGTCCAAACTTTCCTACTCCGTACGCCTCGGAAATTTCCTCTTGGCGTTGCTCGGATGACAGTGATTGTTGTGATCTTGTTGCATACGGATCCAAGGTGGCTGTGGAGTAATGATGGTCCGAATCTGGCAGTTTATGTTCCATGGGAAAGCTTGGTTTATCAAAGGATTCACGGTGACTTTGTGGTACACCAGTCGAAACATCAGCCCTTATCGGAGGTGCGTTTTGTTGGATAGGTGGATTTTGCGCATATCTTTCGTTGGTAAATTGTTGACTGCTGCCTTGCCTCATTGCAGACGCCGCGCGACATTGACCCAAATCGTTTTCTCTGTAATAGGTGTCAACTTCAAAGCTCAGCTAACGCTAACTGTGAAGATACCGCTGGAAATTCTACAGACAGTCCTGGGGTAAGGGCTATAACACAAATAAGTTTATAGAAGCCTGTAGTCTCAAGTTTACAAGTCGTAAGCTTGCATAATGATGAGAGGATGATGCGGTAGATACAATGAGATTTTGTTTCAAGGGTTTGAGGTGCTTTCACAGAAATACACCGTTGCTTTTGATATTTCACTCCCTTCCCTCCCATTTGAATTGAAAGCTCGGAGTTCAATATTTTTTCGATAGAAGGGTAACGGAAGCGCATGGAAAAGACCGTTATACACATTATTGACACATTATTCAAACACTAACAAATATAGCGTAGCACTGGAATCAGTAGTTTTTTTTTTAATTCAAAAGACGTCTTATTATTTGTATCTTGGATGTTCCATGAACATGGAGAACTACTTGAGGGAAGAACTTGACAGGAGAAGAAGAGCAGCCTAGGCTGCCTTTGGGTCTCTGAAGGAAGCCGCCGACCAACTGACAGCTTCGCGCCCGCGTTCGACTCGACAGTTCTCCTGGCGCTCTGTTCCGTAGCCGAGACTTGGCCCGACACTGTCACGTCGAAACTCTACGAACCACTCGTAGAGTGCTAGAAAAGTTTTTTGAAGATGACCCGATACGAGCAACATCTTGTCGGACTTCGCGGCACAGATATGAGAAGAATGTCTCGCGAAGGACTCCCCCCCCCCCCCCCCAAAGGAATACCTCCAACGAGGTGAGCAGACGTGTTCGTGGAACGGAGAGACCAAACATTGCAAAGTTCTGTACTGTTCTCATTGAAACTTCTGTACTTCTGTGCTGTTACGTGAAGAAGGCCATCTAGTATTTAGGTGAGTAAGTGCATAAAGAATATAAAAGTCCATGTGATAGAGGGTGTTTTTGGAAACAGCGGTACTTTTTTAGTATGAAAAGTTATTCGGTTGCAGTCGTGGTGTCCTCGAAAGCTCTCCTTAGTTTTTTGGTTTCTGGGGTAATGACCAAAAGCAAGAAAGCAAGTCATGACTAAGTTTTTCTTTACAGGTATGACCACTCATCGTCTCCATTTAATCCTACTTCTGTGGTACGGATCTTCTCTTTCTCTTGTTTCCTTACCCTTCCGAATCTATTCTTTGTAATCCATGCAAACATTTTTCGAATCCAAAAGCTTTTGCAAAAAGAGTCATCAGTTTAGATAATGTGGAACTTACGACACAAATCCATAGATCACCGCATCTTGACAAGTGATTGGTACTTTAATTCTCTTTGAATCTGAAAAAAGCGAATATTTTCGCGTATTTTTGAGTAATGCACATTGTATCTCACTCAATGTTTGTGACACCTGTCTCTTTGCTTTCTCGCTGATCTTCTCTCGTTTTGACAGTGATGCTTTACCTCAAAGTGATACTTAACATTTGCTTCAACAAGCTGTATCAAGATTTAAATGTATTCTCTATCTTTCAAAATATGCTCCAAACGGTCGGTTCAAGCGGCCACTACATGGCTCCTTCATACCACATAAAGGTTTGAGGCTCAGTAGAAGATGAAATTCTGGCCCGACATCAATGCCAGGCTTTACATCTTTACTGGTGAAATGGGGAGGTATTGTCATACGTTCACAGTCTTTACATACTTCTCAAAAGCTGTAAGCGTAACATGCATGTTCGTAGCGAACAAAGTTATCGAACTCGAGGTGCAACTTCCAAAGACCAAGTTCTTACACTTATTTTACATTCAACGTCTCTGCATCCCTTTGCGGATCGTAAGTCCTCACTTCAAGTTATTGTAGACGATTTCCAAAAAACCTATTATACGATTTTTTCGCGCTATTTGAAGTGGTTTTCGGTAATATAACATATGGTCCAGTATTGTTACTTTGATTTTGATTCATTATTATTTACCTGTTGTAATATCGACAGTAGGTGAAAGTAATGCGCCTCAAAGAAATCTCAAGTAAAATAATGAAGAACCTAGATTGTGTTGATTGCTTTGTTGTTGGATTCATGCATTTCAGTGACGTGTCAATCAGGAAAATTGTACCTACGCCGTAACCTTTTGTTGTGACTGTGCAAGTATCGAGGACGCTATAGAGAAGTGCGTACGAACACGGATCCTGAAAAAAAAATTGCTAGATGCGGAAAGTTTGTACTTCATACATCTTACAGTAACTTCGTCATTTACGTTGCAGCCGCATGCTACAATAAGCTGGGCAGGTTTCAGCAAAACTGAACAGCAGTCCCTATAAAAAGAAGTGAATATAATTATCGGATGAGAGCTTTCAAAGTACCCGTAATTTTGCGATGGAAAAGTCGTAGAAGTACTATAGTGCGAGGAAGTCATTTTTGGGTCAACAGTATATACCGCAGTCTGACTTAAATAGCTGTCAATGGATGACAGAAGTCGCAAATGTGTTTCTCACAACGATTGGCTGCACTGGAGGAGGCGTGGCTAAGTTGCGCGAAGTTGTTCGGAAAGGAAAACTATAAAACAGTAAGAAATTTTTTCATAAGAGCTCAGCAGGTAGAAGGCAACTTACCATGCTGGTGGAGCTCCTGGAGGTTGGATGCTGAAAGATGTTCGAAACTGTATTAAGTAAAATGAAAAAAAACAGAATTATAGCAACAGTGGATATCTCTTGAAGACATTTCAAAACAATCAGTTTGATGAGAATTGAATGAACAAATAGCTATTCTGCAAATATTGACACAGGATCACTTAGAAAAGAGGTCATCTCTTAGCATTTTTAGATTTTTTTACTTATATTTTAGACATTTTTGTTGAAAGTATTTTATAATCAAAAGCAGCAAGCACAAAAAAGTTGAGAAACTCCGTCAATCAATCATCATTTCATTATCAGGCGTCACCTTGGCATGTTTATTTACTAGGTTGTTAATTAACTCTTGTTACACTTTAATTTCTTACGACGATAAGTTGTGAATTTCATAATTTTGATAGCCTTCAGGTATCATTCGATAGAGCAAAACAAGCTCTACAACATAGTGTGCAAGAGTTCGCACTATTTCCGACCCACCGTTAGTTTGCATTGAGAATGTGAGTCGCACTGAATGCTCAAAAAATTAGGAAAAATTCATCTTTGTTCAAAAAAATTCTTACGAATCTCCAACTTGTTCATGCAGATTGCACACCACATCAGACACTCATATACCGTTGCTGTATTTCTTTTTCATCTAGAATTAAGAAAGCGGAAATTTTCTTGTTTTTACGAAAACGGAGCTATGCTGTTTCTATTCATGTAGCTGTTTACTAGTCCTTAGAAGGCCCTTATAACCGTAAATTTTCAGGTTTCCCAAAGCCCTAGTGTTGGAAAAAGAACCGAATTTAGCTTTTTCACTCTTGTGTTTAATGCTAACTAAGGTAATATTCAAAAACTAGGGCTTCTAGAAAGCTGAAAATTTACGATCGTACTTCTAAGGGCTTGTAGTATACACCTACCTGAATAGAAACAGCATAGGATGGGGAAAATACAGCACAGTATATGTGAGTGTCTGATATAGTGTGCAATTTTTATGAGCAAATTGGAGCCCTGTAAAGAAAGTGAGGTGCATGACTTATCGCCGTAAGAAGTTAAAGTGTAATAAGACTTATGTAACAACCTAATAGAACAGTTTCAGACTTATTTTCCAACTCACCACTTTACGACTATCTGAGGTGCTAAATCCGGATAACATTCAGCCAGATCATCTTGCCTACAATGGCAGTATTAGCAAACTTTACTCAAAAATTGAACATGCAAATTGAAATAGCTTTACCTCACGATCCCATAGGATACGGCGTCTTCACATTTTATTGGTGTTGCGTAGGCGTAGGAATGTCCTAAAACTCACTTTTTGATACGTAATAGCTCTTTTCTAGATATGTATGGATATTGACTTGTGTTTTAAGTCTTGCTATATGTTGTGCAAGTTCAGAACAAAACGCCCATGGCCAAAGACTCATACGTTTCGTTTTGCCGTTTAATTAGGGTGATCGGGAAGTAATGAGACACACACGATTTTCTTGCAATTTTGATGATTTTTTCTGATAAACAATACAACCAGCAAAAGTTACATTTGTGTGATCATCGCATGTTATCCTGGCAGCAACTTAGCTCAAATTCTTCTTCATCATTTCGTATAAAAAAGGCAAATTATCCGTAAAAGTGCAATAATTGGCGCAGATCTTCAGGCTAGAAAACGTGTTTAGCCCACAAAGTTTTGAAAGCGAGGTTTTCTCGAGGTAAATTGCATACATATAGATAGAGCATAAACAGCTCTATCATATGCCATTCGTCAAGGTGAGCCCAATAGATCACCTCGATGAGAGAATAAATATCATGTCACCTAATACTCAATGCCATATCTTCGGTTGCAAGCGTTGGGACCATCAGGCTATCGTGGATTTGGTGAAACTGACCAATTGCAGCACATATATTTTTGGCAGCCTCACTTGTTTCAATGCGGCGTTGCTGCTTCAAGTTAGAAATTACTTAAAATGACGAGCTCAAATTTTGAGCACTTATAAACACGACGTCATGAGACACTTATAGACCGCGACCAGAAGATTTTGATGTACTAATACCAACATATCGCGAAACTTGGACATCCAATTGATTTTCCCGTTATTTCCGATCCCCTTACATCTATTTCATTATGGTTCCATTAGTAACGGTTTAGATTTGGTTCTGTTACGAGGAATACTATTTTAGTGCGAATGAAAAGGAAATGATTGGTTTCTACCCAAGTTCTTTTTCCGCACGGTGCAATAACTGAGGTCGTTGCTGTTGAAGGCGAGGAGGCACTTATCTGCACTCTAAATTACATAACATGCTTTATTTTACTGTGATGGCCACTCACAGGTGTAAGTGAAGGTGCTGCGCAGTTGCATATAACGGTCGCTTCTTCGTTCTGCGCTATAACATAGCAGCAGTTCTCTCTAAAGCAAAGCTGCAACTTTACAAAACGTGAACAGAAAGATAAAGTTAATGAAAATGTTAGGATAACAATGCGATTGTTGTTATAATAGTTTCTTGACTACAACTAACAGTGATGCATGTCCTCTACCAAATGGTGTTGCATCGCTAACTGGTTCCGAAGGGCTGACAGTGACGACTTCTCTCGTGGACGGAAGATACGATTTGCTCAAAAAACAATGAATAAGTACTCTTATCGAAATCAATTAGGAGACTTGGAACAAGTAGACGTCTTCATGCTCTTGCATTAATATAAGAACGTTTGGATAAATCGGGATCATGGGTATCTAAATTGATACGCTGTTTCTGGCAACGCGTTCCTTTGTACTATCTGCAATTTTTCAAACGCTTTTCATCAGCCTTTCGATATCAGGTCATTCAATTTCGTGTTCATGGTTTATTATCGTAGCATCCTACTTTTCATATATAAAAGTTGATTACAAGATGTGCCGTCGCGTCGCGAAATCTCCCTAGCATTGCAACTAAAGTTTTTGGGAAAAAACAAATTTCGATTCCTGTAAAAAACCGAGGCCTTCATTTGCGGAGCTTTTTCGGGTGCTCATAAAATGCAAAGCCGCAAGGCTAAGCTCACGATAGTTGTTTATTCTGTGCATCTTTGGTTTGCCAGTGTTGGCTTGAAGACTTCTGGCATATTGCTAGATCTCTTGGGGACTGAAATCGCATGAGGCATATTAGAGATGTGGGATGCCATATTACCGGAGCATGGAAAGCTGCTGTATAAAATAAGCTCGCAACATTCCTCGAAATGGTCATTGTGTGAGACAGAGACTCACTATAAGCACTGCCATGTCCGCCAAATATTTTACGTACTGCAAGTAAACGTTATTTTGGTCGATTTGAATAGTAGTGTGATCAGTGATCAGTCCCCTTTTTGCCTGAGGCTACAGGTTCATATTGTTTCGGAAGTTCCGGCACGATCCCTGCACACCGCTCAAACGACGATGTAGCTTTGGTTGAGCTGTGCTACATGCGCTGCAGCTGCAGCCGCCTACCTGCTGTACTGAGCTCTGAAATGGCGATTTTTGACTATTCTTAATTTTCATGTGAATTCTGCTCGCTTTCAATTTAATCTCGTATCTCGCTCCCTACGGGGCTGAAATGCCCAGAAAGCCAATGCAATGCTCAATTTCTGTATTTCTCATCACCACAGCACAATAAAAAAATGCGTGTTTTCTGCTATATCGTGGACCCACTGCCTTTTTGAAATACAGAAAGGGTTTTCTACAAAAAATCCATGGAGGAGAAAGGACGCAATGGAAAATACAGTCTTAGGGCCGCATGCATTAACATCCCCGCTGGGAGGGGATCGCAGCTTTGAGAGAAAGCTCTATATCTGAAGTTTCAGACATATCTTCACTGTATACCTATCCATAAACATTCCTACCATCCTTCACTATAAACATATTGAACAAGAGCGAGAAGCTGTACAAGCCGCATTTTCCAGCATTTTGTATGATCCCCTAACAATCCCCGACTGTCTTTTCTTCAAAGTCACTTTTCTTTCTTCGAAGTCAACGAAAACCTTCCAAAGTTGTACTGAATATCCAACACAACAGTCCTAAACATGTTGCTGATGAGAATAGATGAGTTTTTGAAAATCAAATTTTTGATAAACCCCAACATTCGACTTGTGATCCATCGCAAATTTCATGACTCCAATACATCATTTGTTCTTATCAGCAACAGCTTAGCACTGTTGGACTAGATGAGCAGTGCAACTTTGGAATGCCTCCGCTTACGCAGTTTGGAAGAAAAATTTATATTTCAAACCATGGGAGCTCTGGATTTTACACCATTTGTCCAGTCTCAAATGCTCCTACTACCTTTACTATAGACATATCAAAAATGGGAGCTTGAAATTGTGTGAGCGGCAATTTTCAGCTTTTGCATGATCCCTTATGATTCCCGGCACCGACCTTTCTTTGCAGAGCTTGTTTCGAAGTCAGTGAAACCATCTCAAAAGCATGCCGATTACCTAACCTAGCAGTGCTAACAAGGGGGGCTTGCTTAGGCGAAGTGACCTTTTTGAATGTGATGTATACCATATTAGAGGGCATAAAATGCTGATTCTATTAGGTCGTTGCATAAGTTCGTAGAGTTTTCATTTTCGTCTTCATATTTCTGGGGAGCGGTTGACTTGCGGCAAGATGAGTATATTATTTGAACGGGATGATTGTGTCCTTTAAAATATTTCTACTGATTCCAGTGTAAAACTGATTTACTTGGATCTCGTAGCTTCCAAAGACAAAATCTTGAAAGTCAAAAACGAGCAATTTCATTTTTCCTTAAAAAAAAGCGCTTTTTCACAGATTTTTGCACATGGAACATGGAGCTCGCACATCAATATGAGACAAAAAGGATTGGATTGCTACAAGAGATCAAGGACTGAGCAGGGTGTCACTGAACAAGACTTTTTAGGTTACGGGCAGGACGTCCTGGACTGAAACTTGATGTATCAAGCATACCGTTAAGCAATCCAACTGCACCATCTAAACCAGGTCCTACTCCAGAAAAAGCCTAATAATCTAATGACTTCTGCATGATGGAACATGGCCTCATTCGGCAAACGTCGTCAAAACTGTCCTGCACGATTTGATTAGGAGGTACCTAGTACCCAACGTACTCTCCAAATTTCGCTCTATCAGATTATCATTTGCTCCGCTCTCTAGCAAACCTCAGAATGGTGCATGACTCATTATTCAATAGGTATTTTGAGCGTTGGTTATGACTTTCTTTTTGGGACCCGGCGCGCTGCAGTTTGAAAAATTGAGATTGAGGAGCTGACGAGAATGCGCGAAAAGGTCTTTCGCTAAAACGAGGAAAATAATTTTGATCGGGTTTTAGTGTAAATTGATGATTTTTTTTTCTAAAAACGCTACGAATTTATGAAACGACCTAATAAACCTGCCTTTTTCATCTGCAAGACGTTTATGGACGAGGTATTAGTGTTTTTTGGAATGAGTTGCTAAAATCTTATTAGTCCTCATATAATGCAAAAGTGCTGTTATTATTTCAGGGCATATTTGAATAAAGTGCTCTGATGATTATCACTGCTCCACTGAAAAATTATAAAAAGTATTGCGGCTATTTTTGACCCACTTGCACATTCAATTTTGTGCTCAAATAGGCGCTCATAACCCCTCGTCCATGAATGTTCTGCAGATAAGGAAGGCAGATATGGACCCACCATGTCATGCCCTCCAATATGGTATACATCCCATTTGCAAAGGCCACTTCGAGTGAACGTGCTTTCCTTGTAAGCGTTTTTCCGACATGAACAAATGATGTATCAAAGTGATGAAAAATCAGATGAATCACAAGCCAAAACTTGCAGTTTATCGAAAATTTCAATCATAACTTATAGTAACGGGCTAAGTTTACGTGACTGTGTGTGTGTGTGTGTGTGTGTGTGTGTGTGTGTGTGTGTGTGTGTGTGTGTGTGTGTGTGTGTGTGTGTGTGTGTGTGTGTGTGTGTGTGTGTGTGTGTGTGTGTGTGTGTGTGTGTGTGTGTGTGTGTGTGTGTGTGTGTGTGTGTGTGTGTGTGTGTGTGTGTGTGTGTGTGTGTGTGTGTGTGTGTGTGTGTGTGTGTGTGTGTGTGTGTGTGTGTGTGTGTGTGTGTGTGTGTGTGTGTGTGTGTGTGTGTGTGTGTGTGTGTGTGTGTGTGTGTGTGTGTGTGTTACGAAATTCATGGAGCGTGTTCCAGCCAGCGTTCTAAGCCCAAATTTTGTATAGCGCATGCTACCTTCATGAAAGTCCAACATGCAAAAGCACGAGTAGATTCGTTGAGTGGACTCCTCAGAAATTGCGCGCCAAACCGGTCCACCTGGCTTCTGTACCGCAAAATTCGGTCCGTATCACCACTTTTTGCAGATTCGTGGATGAGTTTGGTAAGCAAATGCGCAAGCGATGGAGTTTAGCCAGAAAAGTGGTCGAAAGTTTACTACATAACGAAAACGACGCCAAAATGAAATGGTTGTGTAAATGGTCAACTTGTCAAGGTTCTAGCTAAGCGTTTGAGAAGATTTTCGCACAGAGATGTAGGTCACGGTTACTATTATCTTTATGGCGACTACCAAGCCATGACAAATCCAAAAACCTATTCAAATTTGCGTTTGTCTTCCTGCGAAAAGTTTTATCCACTCGAATCATCGATCTCACGTGAAAAGACTTTCTAAATGAGTAATTGTTTGCATTTTATTCGTGGTAGTCGGCATACCGCGGTGAGTTCCAGTGCCACGATTTTACGAGAATGAGTAAGGCACATAGATAGTAGAGCCACTGGTATTCTAGAAAGTCGTTTGTTTTTATCTGAAACGTTTTTGGCATTGCAGTGTCAGATATCAGTGCAAATCTGACATGTTTTCATTCCCATCTAAAGTGTTTATAGTGAAGAGTAGAAACTTGAGAATGTTTAGATGGTGTGTGGGATTTCATGAATGTAAATCCAAAACTCCGCAGCTCCAGCCTTCCTCTGAGCGCGATCTTCTTTCTAGCGGAGATGTTAATGCATGCCACCCTTAGTCACCGTTCCGAAACAGCGTTCATTCCCAAACCTCCGTTCAAGTCTAATACTTCCTCTATCAGATGAAGAGGCTTTGTACAAGAATAAGACGAAAGCGAGCAAAATCATAGAACAAACCGTTGAAACTTCAAAAATCGCTGTTTCCCTACCTAATACCTTTTTGGCGCATGTAGCACAGTTCCGGCGCAGTTTAAGCGTTGTGGAAACGGTGCCGGAACTTTCATCAGCGTAATTGAAGCTTAAGGCAGCCGATCTAGTTGCCTGGATTGTATCGTTCTTTCCTTCAGCTGCATCTTAATGCATATAGTGACAAGTTCTGGCGTAGTATGTTGATTGTTCCAAGCCGTTCGGGCTGTGGAATGCTGTTTTCTGTCCATCACAAGTGGGCACAGCTTAGGTAGTACGTAGCGACATACAAAGGAGAGCTCCTGCTGGGACAGTATTATTTATCAACGTGTACTGCTGCGTCATCTACCATCTTGGCCACATGGGAGGCAAAATGTACTACTATGGCCCGTCTCCGCTGGGCCCTTATGTAAGATTCCGTCAGGTGAAGTGACGACCGCGCACTTCTCCATGCTATAAGAATGCAACGTCACCTGACATGTGAGCCTCTGGCCAGGTT